CAACTTAATATTCACACTGTGTTTTGCTATTCACACGAGATGCTTTCACGTCGTATGCACTGTAGTCTTTAATAAAATAGAAAATAGCATCTCATAAATTTATTTACTTCACACAAGAGTGGCCATCATCTCACAGAATTGATAGAATATGAGCACGCAATAACCATAGGTCCACTCATCTCGTTGGGTTCAAAGTTGAGATGTCAACTTGAGACAAGCCATTTATGATTTCCATGTATTTTATCAACTAATATTCTTGATTCATTACAATACAAAAAAAGACGCGCTAATGTTCGGTTTTTGCTTATGACAAACAGATTTTGCCCATAAAATAATTAAAAATCTACTGGGCTCTCGAGTGTTGTATATTAGTTCTCACTTCATTCGTCATGTCGGAGAATTTTTTTTACAGAATCCCCAATAATAATAATTTAGTGATAAAGGACACCCAAAAAAATAGTGGAGTCCGCATCAGGTCTTGAACACTTTGGCTCGGTTTGCGTGCGCGTCCTTTGTTAGTTAGCATTATTGGCACGACAACAAAATTACTTCCTTTGAGGCCATAAATATATCATACGATCTCAGCAACAAGGCAAATCATGCTGCAATTCCGACGTCTGATGTATTGCAGAGTTTCTCAGAAAATCCTATCTCAGCACTATTCGTCCCAAATCCGGAAATTCAACAACATTTTCACTCGGTTTGCCGTGCCGTCGTGCACGCATTTCCGAGGCATATCAGATTTTCACAGCAATAGTGCATAAGAACTCAAGGGCTCTAAGGTAATTAAGTCGGTTTATTGAACATTCTGAAATCCTGTTCATCTTTCCACTCTCGAGCATTTTTGACAGTGCGTCGCCTTATCTTGCTGTTCGCAACGATAATCATTTCCTCCAGAGGCATAATCCACTCTTCCCCTTTTCCAACACCAAACAATATTTTCATCGTGGCGAGACTCCTGGGTATAACATGCTTCGTTTTCCAACCTGCTAGCATTTGGTATCCATTCGTTAAGCATTCATTGCCAATTCCTTCGTCTGCTCTTCAGTCGCTTACTGGCCTTCTCATACGTGCAGGTCATATTCAGCTCGTCATTTCAAACGCGTGGTCTTCATCCCTATAAGTCTGTGCCACCTGGTCAGTTTTTATTTCTGCACTCTAGAATAGGCCATATATGCATATTTTTCTCATATCGTCCAGTTGTTGGGTATACGTAGGATTGGAGCAAGTTAAAATATTAGGTATGTATTTTTATCATAATAAACGCTCTTAATCAATGCCAATAATGAAAATCGCTATAGGGTTTCCACAGTTTCCTCGTAAGGATAATAAAAGAGCCCACGTAGTGTAGCATTGTAAAAAGATATTTTCTCCGTGGTGCTACGTTGGTTGGAACTTATCGTAGTGGTATAATAACATGTTTTGTTTTGCTGGATACTTTTCTATTCCTGAGGTTAAGATGTTCCACGGAATGTGCCATGGCATTTCAATTTTCCTCAGTGACATCTCTCGCTGATTTTTGCTTGAATGGTAACAACTTGTTTCTTCTTTCAATTTTTTCTGGCAATGTTTTGTTTTCACAAAAACAATTTTCTGTGTTTTTATCTTATCTTGACATTTCTCTGTAATTTTGTCTATAAATTTCCCTGTCATGTCATTTTCTTTCCTTTCTGTAATATGTATTTTTTTAAATTGGAATGCCGTGAAATTTACAATTTCCTATCTCTCTCTAAGATGGTATCTCGTTTGAGAAAGTGTCTATTACTTCCTTTTAACCTTAAGCTGTAGTTTCATATGCATTCATCCTTAGTTGAGTTATCTGTTCGTAAGTTTTTCTGTCAGTTTATTTACGACTTTATCTTTGTCTCCTCGGGGACCACATCACTATTCAACTTCGACTCCTCGGCTCATCATGCTCTTCGGTATGCGTGATTGGTGGCACGAGGAAATCAGAGACTGCATATATCTGTGCAAATACACCTTTGCTTATGCTACCTTTCCTGCTCTCTTTTCCCTCCCCCGCCTTGTGTGTCTCCTATCATTTTTAATTCCTCTGGAATTTTAAATATTAGGACTGGAATGATGTATTCTTTCTTTGAATTTTCTCTGCCAATGTGTATTTTGAAGACAAAGTTATTTCTCCTTTTTGAAATTTTGATCTTAAATCTTGAATTATGTTTCTGTGATTTTGTCTATGAAATTTCTCTGCTTTGTAAATTTCTCCTTTAGAATATTATCTCTTCCTGGAAATGTATTTTCCTCTCTGGAATGTTTATTACTCTCTTGCCCCTGTCCCTAAGTTTCTCTCTGATATTGATAATTTCTCTAAACTTACACAAACCACACTTCCCTCACTTGAAGTGTCTCTATCATGGTTAATTTTCTCTGGTTGTGTAATGTAAATTTCTTTAGCATTTTTTATATTATGAATTGAAATTTTCTCTGGAATGGAAATTTCCTCAAGAATGTGTATATTTTCTCTTAAAATGTGTATTTTTCTCTATATGTTTATTTTATTCAATTTTCTTGGTTCAATATGGTGGTAATTCTCCAGTGGGCATGTTTACATTTACTTTGTTTATTTAAATCTTGCTAATTATATGGAATGAAAATTTTTTCGCTTGCCATGTTTACTTTTTTTCATATCACATTTTCTCTGGTATGTTTAACTCTATCTATAATTTTTAAACAATTATTGAAAATTTCTCTCCATGTTTTATGAATGTTGTGTGATTTTACCTCTGATATTTTAATTTTTAATGTCCAATTTTCTCTAGCATGGTCATATTATGTAATTTTCCCCTTATCTGTAATTTCTTCTGCATCATCCAATTTTCTCCTCTTTTTGTAATTTCTCCCTTATCTGTAATTTTCTATTGAAGACATGTCCAATTTTCTTCTGGGATTTATGTTTGACATCTTTTAATGTTTTAATCATTGGCTAGAAATGGCAAAACTAACAGCACCGAAACCAAACGGGGAAGACACCAAGCAAAAACAGAAACTCTCTCAAGTCTTCTTATAGGCTAAGATCAAAAACCATCAGACACAAAACCTGGAAAAAACCAAGCCAAAGAAAGAAAACAACTCTCTCAGTCGTTCTTATCATCTAAGCATAAAAACCCAACAGCAACCACCACAAACCCTTCACCAAAACACACAAATCCAAGGTTGATGAACAACTAGCATTCCCAGATAGAGTAACCCACAACTTCAAAAGAACTCAAGCTCAAGGGGAAAAACCTGTTAAAACTCCACAGAGAAAGACAATGAGCTCACTACAACATTCAATCCCGATCCAATCTCTCATCGTTCGTCTCTTTTTTTTCATCAAATAACTTAATTTAAATCAAAAACAACTTCTAATGAAGTCTTCAAAAGTCCTCACATGTCCTAGTATTTGATCTCCAACTAACCACTGGAAAGATGGATTCCAAAGAAAATCTAGGGAAATCCGATGATGATGTAGTTGCTATAATCCAATGTTTACAATGAAAAATAAAAGCATTCACAGTTGTAAAGAAGAACCTGACCGTTTACAACACAAATGAATGAACCTCTGATTTTTGGTTTGGAAGGAGGTAAAGGAGCCATGTCATTAAGAATACTCTCTAAAAAGCCAAAATCTGCATTCCTCAGGAAAGATTCCAAAAGACACAAGGCTCACTGGTACCTGAGTATCTTAAAAATGCTTCCAAAAGGACACAAAGGCCACTGGGTCCTGTTCTTAAAATGCTTGATCAAGAGTAATGAAAGGCAAGCAACTAAACTGACTTCAAAGAGATGTAGCAATCATTGTTACATTGACTTGTGGTCTCACACTATTTTTGCCAAACAAGTGAGAAATTCAATAGGTTGGGTTTTATAGAAGTATGTGGACCCCTTGAATCATGAAAAAGTATGATTGGGACGGAAAGCAATCATACTCAATTGATTGAATTCTATCATGGCATTCACAAACTTCCAGAAAAGTTTCGGGTGTGTCATTGCATTGCTCGAAGTATAATATATCAATTTGCAGTTATCATACATCAAATTTTGCAGTTATCAATACATTCAATTTTGTGCGTTATGAAAATTTTATTTACTTTTTAATTTTCATCACAGTAGTAATGGCTTAAATGTGTAACATGCAACTATCATTGGACCATCGGAAGACAGTAACATTAAACTGACTTCCCAGATCGTGCCAAGTGGAACCTGTAAGACCTTGACGAAACAGCCTGCAGAAGACAACCAGTCCACTCCTTTGTCACCTCGATAGGTTAGATTTCTTCATTAGCTGAAAACTCGTTGATGAAATTCAGTGAAATTCCACAAAATTTCTCTGGACATCTGGCTTTGTTCCCTCTAGTTAGCTTGATATGATTTACAGAATCAATTTTCTCTGAACTATCCAATTTATGTTTTTTTCTTTCTGGTTACCAACTTTGGTCTTTGTCTGCCATTGTAATCAATTTCTCTGCCATTTCAATTTCTCTAACCACATATTGTAACACAATTTAACTTATATGTCCTGATTGAATTTTCTTCTCTTTCTATTTTAATTATGTGGTTGTTTTCATATGCCCCTATATTTTCTCCTGCACCCATAATTTTTATCTCTCCTTGGCTGTGTAATTTTCTCTATCCA